CCTAAGAACACATACAATACTACAACATATGTTGGTGAAACCTAAACTAAAGAATATCATGACACACTACTTTCATTCATCTATGCTGAAAACAACTCACTTTTGTTATATCTTAATTTATATCTCTTAAGACATATGGTAATTACATAATACCAATTTTTCATTTATCAAAATATTTATTACAAAATTTTTAAATTATCTTTAAGAAAAACTGACCCAGACGACTTTCAGTTAAGTCGTCTGGACGACTTATTTGAAAGTCGTCTGGGCAGACGACTTACGAGGGCTAGAAACGTAAAAAAAATTCGCGTTTTTTGTTTGTTCACAAGGAGTTGGTTGTAATTTCAATAGCCTTTTAAGTTACTTTTGCATTTGATTCAAGTTTGGGTTTACTTTTGCATTTCAAATTAAGTTTTGAGTCATATTTGGCAATTTTCCCAAGATACAAAACAACACAAAAAAACTCACTATACATTTGTGAGAATGACGAAGAAAATCAAATTGCCCAAAGAAATTTTGAAGAAGTGACAATCTATTCATACCAGGCCCTATACTTGACTCAAAACTATATAAGTGGTTTTATTTGTTTAGGGATACTTTGTTAAATTTGCTTGGATACTCAACCGTTTAGAGTAAGTAGTCAAAGTGATACATAAAATAGTAATGCTAGATACAAATGATTGTTAATCCGTGAAACCACTCAAACGATAGAGTACATAAATAGAATAACCGAAGTGGTCTCTTTTTACGTATTATAAGAAGGAGCTGGTCGGTTTGAGGGGGAATGAATCGTGTGCGAGCCGTCCGCTCAGAAGACAAAAAATGTTCTAAAACCAATGCATTTGTCGCCACTTTTTGGTTTCACAAACCGTCCTACTACATTAACATATTACCTGAATCCAAGGACAATGTTCTTTAGCGCATAACAACATCATCTCCCTCTCTATATCCACACCATATATAAGAACATGGAGACGAGTTCTTAAATCTTCCAAGAATCTTACGGCAATCTATCTCTCACTTGTTAGTCTGCACGTACTTTTGAAACTTGTGGTTTGAATTATTCTCTCTCATAAAATAAGAAAGAAAGAAAAAGATTCTCTTGTTATGTTATGCTCTTCCTCTTCTCTCCCATCTGAGTCAACATCATCCTTTTCATCTCCAAAAAGTTATTCCTTTTAATTATTTTCATTAAAGGTTTACAGTTCATTTTTCAAGTTTTATTTCTGAAACTTTAATGCTGGTTCTCTGTTTTTGTCACATGATTTTCATCAGAAACATAACTCTTGCTCCACCAGGGTATTAAATTCACTCTTCTCATCCCACGTCATCTTTTCAAATTCAAGAAAGCTTCGTTTTGTATTTCAAGATTCATCATTTACATAGGAATTAAAAAATGGAAAGTGGTGGGTTTTATCCAGATTGGAAGGATACTTCTTCTTCCTTGTTTGGATCAGAGAATATGGAGGAAGATGGACTTCTCAGAGCTGAAGAGCTGTTCTCATCTATTCCTCAGCCTCAGACACCAAAAGAGCCAATGGAGTTTCTGTCTAGATCCTGGAGTCTCTCTACTTCTGAAATAGCCAAAGCACTTGCACTCAAACATAGACAACAACAAGAACAGTTCTGTGTTGCTCAAAACACTCCTCCTGTTTCGTTCCCTGATGCTGCTGCAGATCCACTCGTGGTACGTCACTTTTCTTATTCCCTTTCTTTGATTACGATCAAACATTGTCAACTCCTTTGATAATTGAAACCTTTTTGGGGGGTTTTTTGGTTTTAGGCTGGGAAGATTATGAACTCGTTTGGCACACGCAAGGGAGGGGCATTGTCAAAATGGTTTCACCACCACAAGGAACAACATAGCAGCAGCAGCAACACCATCAACTATCTAAGGAAGAAAGACAAGGTGCGGGTTGAGAACGCGCACGTGCATTCTGCAGTCTCTATAGCCGCTCTTGCTGCAGGTTTAGCCTCTGTGACATCTGCAAGCAACAGCAAAGGGCCAGGCTCCATGATGGCTCTGGCTTTGGCCTCAGCCACCGAACTGTTGGCATCGCATTGTGTTGAGATGGCTGAGCGAGCCGGTGCTGACCGTGCACGTGTTGCTTCTACGGTTAGATCTTCTGTGGATATCCATAGTCCTGGTGATCTCATGACTCTTACAGCTGCTGCTGCAACAGGTATGGATCGAAATTAGTCTAGGCTTTGTTGTAGTTTCACAAGCTTATAGCTTCGTTGGTTCTTACTTGATCTGGTTTTGCTTAAATGGATTACTAGCTTTGAGAGGAGAAGCGGCTCTGAAGGCGAGACAGCCAAAGGAAGCAAGGAAAAACGCATCTATTGCACCTTTCGAGAGAAGCTTCTCTGACTCTCATTGGCCTCCAAATATCCAGTGTAGATTGGAAGAATCAAATCTTCCATTAGAAGGCGAACTAATGCAATGCGCACGACATGGTAAGTCTACTCTGACCAATTGACAAAGTTCACTGAGACAAGACATATAGCTCAACTCTTCTCCTTTATATGTGCTTTAACTTTCAGGAGTGCAACGAACTAAGCGTGTCTGTATCTATATCAACAAGAAGTCTCAGGTACAGAAGATTTGATTAGAATCCTTTCACTTCTGATCTAATGCTTATTATGCTACTTATGATTTTTTCAGGTAATGATCAAACTCAAAAGCAAACATGTAGGAGGAGCATTCTCCAAGAAGATCAAATGTAAGCACTTCATAATCTTTCAGTATAGATAACTTATTACCTGAAAGACAGTCATTCTGAATTTGTTGTTCCTTTTCTTTAAGGCATTGTCTATGGAGTCTGCGATGAGAAATCAGCTTGGCCTTACAGGAAAGAGCGGGAAAACTCAGAAGATGTTTACTTTGGTCTGAAAACAGGACAAGGCCTGTTGGAGTTTAAGTGCAAGAACAAGACACACAAGCAGAGATGGGTTGATGGGGTACAGGCTCTTCTCCGCCAAGTAAACTGCTTCGAGGCTGCCAAGCGCTCGATGGGATCACTGAGTCTCACTACTCACACGTGATGCAGGATCATGTATATATATCTGATTATATGTATGTCCACATTTTTGCTGTTGTGATGTATTTGCAAAAACTGGCAATGTACAAAAGGTTGTTCAAATGATCACAATTTTGTGGTAGGAACCATTGCTATGTACAGAAACACATCCGGAAAGAGAAAAATTGATCTCAAACTGAACCTTTTATTTCCAGTAAAAGTTTCTCCCCTTGGATGATGGCAAGATGCCATGATGTACAATCATGTATGTTGATAACATCTTTTTCATCAAAATGAGACTATCCAGCACAATGATTTCCTCACCATCTGGTTAAAAGAAAAGAAAACGAGCTTAGGATAGAACTTACAATATGACACACCTGCATGCATCTTGCAAGAACTAGAAAGTCCGTATCCTTAGCCAGTTCCAAAATCTCCTCATCTATCTTGCTATGATCGGTTGTTGGCAAATGATGATATAAGATCCCATGCCTTTGGAGAAACCACATAATATAAGTGTTTAGAGCTCTTTCATGATTACTGAAACACATGTAATATTTCATATAACCACTAGTCATACATTTTTACCCATTCAAGTCCGTTAAGAAGAGTTACAAGTAAACATTATCACAAATGATATATAGACAGGAAGTTTCCCTTCTGGCCACTTGTGCAACTTTTCGACCAGACAATGATACTACAAACAGAAGAACACACACAATTTCACTTCAGGAGCGGTAAACAATAGGACACAATAGAGAAGGACATAGATTAGGATTTATCTGCTCATAATCATACAATTGTGTTTTTTTTTTTGGCACTAGTTTAAAAAGTCCTCGGCCATTTTACTGGATCAAATATAAACTCTGCTCCCCCAAGAAATCACCTTTTACATCAAACTAAACTCAAAAAATATAAAGTTTTAACTTCCAAATCTGTAGTAATAACATAACAGAAATCATGCTTACTTATATAGGTGAAGTGTAACAGAAATCAGAAGAACACACACAACTGATTGAAGAATTTGTTCAGAGATTAGCCAAGAAAATTATTCGAAGTAGAGCATCCAAAGGAAATTTAATTTTTTCTTTTCTTTGTTGAGAAGGAGTGATGAGACAGAGGGAACCGAGGGACTCGCCGTGAAATTAAGAAGACTTAGAGAACCATTTTATAAATATTCCAAAAGCTGATATAAATTATCCAAAAGATCTGAAGAGAGAGAGAAGGAGAGGAGAGAGAAAGCTCGGAAGCTTCAGTAATGGCGAACTCAGTGATCACCAAGTACGGAATCGTGGGGATCGGTATGATGGGAAGAGAACATCTCATCAACCTTCACCATCTCCGCGACCAAGGTCTCGCCGTCGTTTGCATCGCCGATCCTCACCCTCCCTCACAGCTCCTCGCCCTTGAACTCGCTCAATCTTTCGGTTGGGATCTCAAGGTCTTTTCTCATTTCCACATGTGTAAACATACATGATTGTTTCGGTACTTAAATCTATTTCTTTTGTGACAAACAAAAAAAAAGGTATTCTCAGGACACGAAGAGTTGCTCAAGAGTGAGATGTGCGATGTGATCATTGTCTCTTCTCCAAACATGACTCATCACCACATTCTTATGGACATTATCACTTACCCAAAACCTCACCATGTTCTTGTCGAGAAGCCGTTATGCACCACCGTTGCAGATTGCAAACAGGTGCTGGAGGCTGCGAGGAAACGGTCGGAACATATGGTGGTGCAAGTTGGGTTGGAGTACAGATACATGCCACCTGTAGCTAAGCTTATTGAGAAAGTGAAAGGCAGAGACTTTGGTCATGTCAAGATGGTTGCTATCCGAGAGCATAGGTTCCCTTTCTTGGTTAAGGTAAAGTCCAGACACGATTGCACTATGGCTACGCATCAGACTTATATGCTTGCTTACGCGTCAACTAGGTGAACAACTGGAATAGATTCAATGTGAACACTGGTGGGACCTTAGTGGAGAAATGCTGCCATTTCTTTGATCTTATGAGGCTCTTTGCTGGTGCCAATCCTGTATCTGTGATGGCTTCTGGAGGTATGGATGTGAATCACAAGGATGAAGTTTATGATGGGAAGGTACTTTTTTAGTCCTGTATCATTTTGCCCAGTTCAATGTATATTGCGAGTTTCTTACATATAGTTGTTTTTCTTTGAAAACATAGGTGCCTGATATAATTGACAACGCATATGTTATAATTGAGTTTGACAATGGATGTCGTGGGATGCTTGATCTATGCATGTTTGCTGAAGGTAGCAAAAACGAACAAGAGATCTCTGTTACTGGTGACACTGGAAAGGTAGTCCTTTTGGAAACAATGTCAATATGATCCATGAGTCCTGAGTAGAGTTTATATATCTTCTTAACTTACTTGGCAACCATGTTGCAGGGAGAGGCACTTGTTCCAGAGGGCATAGTTCGATTTGGGACTCGTGCTGGAGGAAGAGAACACGTTCAAACGATAAAAGCTGAGGATGAAAGAATAAAGTAAGCTCTGTCTCATTTCTCTTTTTGTGTAGTCTTACAATGTATATACTCTCACATCAGAGGCACATGATGTTGGTTATTCAGATATGAAGGGTTGCATCATGGGTCAAGTTACTTGGAACACCTCATATTTTTGTCGGCAATCAGAGGTGAAGGACGAGCAGCTGTTGATTTGGAAGACGGATTGATGGCTGTTGCCATCGGAGTTGCTGCACAGCTCTCCATTCAGGAGCGCCGCTATGTATCCATGGACGAGGTCTTGTGACTTGTGATTGTAGAATCTTGTAAATTTGGTATTTATTGCTTTCATATGTTTGCTATACTGGAGGCATATGTTGTAACAGAAGCCGCTGTTTGTTGTAAAGATAAGGCATGACTGAATCTTTTTATCGTTATATGTATCACTTAGGAGAATGTTTCGGTTGACATGGAACGCTACAAATAAGTTTATTATCCAACACATGTTTTGAAAATCAATGGATATTCTCTGTTTTCGTTACTAACTAACAGAGTAATTGTAAGTTATTAGCACTTCTTCCTATTGTAATTATCATTTATACATACACCAATGAGCTTTATCATCTTCAACAATAAGAAGGTTGAAAACCAGTTGAGATTGATGGCTACAATTTGTGAAGACTAAGCCAAGATGGAAGGAAGAATCAGAATTAAGACTGTAAAATGCAAACCCTCAAAAGTATTAGGGCTGAGGTTAGGGAGACAAGCAAAGGTGTCAATTTAGGCTTCAGACAACATTAGTGTACTTGAAATGCCAGCAAAGGTGTCAAAATAAGTTTCAAACAAAAGTTAGCTTAGCGAGGTCTCTCACTTTCTGACTAGATATATTCATGTTCCATCAGACTTAAAGTCTAATAAAGGAAAGACCAACAAGGTTAATGTGCATCAGAACATTCAATGTGTTAAGATAACACTATCTTCATTGACAGATTCAAAGTTTTCATGAACTCAAAATTTGAAACAACTCTTTAATGTTAAATATTCTTCCATACAAATGTAATTCCAGAATTCTGATACGCAAATCCACACAGAAGATTTACCACTCGAGCAAAAAAAACAAAACATAAAGCTGATCACCGGTAACGACGGAGAGATAGGGAGTTGTTCTTCTTCCAGGTAGCCCTGCGAGAAGGTCTGTTCTTGTGGTTGTTGTGACCCTTTCCACGAAGACCACGATTCTTCTTTCCCTCTGAGGTGAGTCCTCTGAGTTCTCTGTGCTTGTGCACTGGGTTGCAGATCCAGTTGATCCTTGGATCATTTCGGACGGCATTGTGTGCAGGGTCCACAAGTATAATCTCGTAATATTTGTACGTAGAGTCCTAAGTAATCAGAGATATAAAATCACAATTAATCTACAGAATGAATCATTACAAAAGCAAGTTGAATGAAACAAGTTTACACTATTCATATACACATGCCAATGTCTAATAGTATTAAGAGTTGGGTATGGTGCTAACCTCATTGAGCCAGTAGGAGTTAACGACCCTAAGGCCACCAAGTTTGCGACCAGCACGTTCCTCAGCAACAGATCTCTTACTGCGCTGGAATTTGAGCTGTGTCACTCCCTGGTTAGTGGGTTTACCATAGACAATACCCTTGGGAACAGGCCTCTTGCGACCTCCACGCCTCACACGAACACGGTAGACAACGAACCCCTGAATACAAAAAAAAAAAACAAAAATAGTTGGTCAACACAAACCAATTGAATGACAACACAACAAAATAAAAATTTGTTCGAAGACTTTATTAAAAAATGTATCAAACTTAGACAAGAACATAGTCTACAGTAGATAAAGAGATGTTCAGTCAGAAGAGTGAAATGATTTCGCTGGTCTCAGGAAGTATTCTATCATGTTAACGCAGATATATCTACTTGTAAAAAAGGAGAATGCCTACGCTTCAAGACACCGCTTGACCAGCTTATTAACAACTAAGACCTTGATTGGAGACTTCCTAAAAACTAATCAAAATTTTATAACTTAACTCAAAGATAGACAAACACAAACAACAACACTACAAAAAGTAAATGAAGACATAAAAATGTATCAATCTTTGACAAGAACAGAGTCCAAAGTACTTAGAGATCCGTTTGGTATAAGATTGAATCGATCTAGCTGGTCTCAGGAAGTATTCTATCACCTTAACGAAGGCATATCTACGAAAGGAGAATGCATACGTTTCAAGATACCGCTTTACCAGCATGATTCAAGATTTAACTAAAACTAGTGACAAAGATTATAACTTGATAAAAGGGGCAAGAAGAAGAAAAAGACCTGCTTGGCCTTGTAGCCGAGACGGCGAGCTTTGTCGGGACGAGTAGGCCTGACGAGACGGACAATGGAAGGCTGCTGGCGATACTCCCAGCACCTAACCCTCTGCACAAACCTCATCACATCCGATTGCTTCTTCCTCCATAGCTCAGACACGTACTTGTATGCCCCTGCAATCAAAAACACACATTTCTTAATTAGTAATCAGCTTCTCACACAAGCACAGACATCATCGAAGTCATAGAAAAGGAAAGAGACACACCCATTGCTGATCTCCGGCGTCGCAGTAACTGGTTTCATTTAGGTTTCTGGTTTTATATAGTTGATAGGATGATTCCATGGGGAGCTAGGGTTTCCCTCACCTTTAGTAAGGCCCATTAGCTATTATTGGGTTTTCACTAAACAAAATAAGGCTCACTATAGAAGAAGTCTTTTGACACGGACGTAACGTTTTTTTTCTTTACAACATAGGGTCTGACTGGTTGAAACGCGGCGGTTGCGATTGCGGTTGCGGGAGTTTGTGGATGTGGGTGGTTGCGGTTTCTAGCGTTATTAGGCGATTTGTACGACTGGTACAACGATTAAAAACTGGTGCGTTTGCGGGACATTTATGACTGGTTGATTATGAGATACTACAGCGCTTCAATAATAAATTTCCAATATTAACAAATTATAACATTATAAAAATAGCAAAACTCTGTTATGATAAAAAAATAATAACTATTAATATATTATAAGTAATAACAATATTATTTTTATAATTTTATTTAGATAAAAATATAATATTATAATATAATATAATATAATTAATTATATTTATACATTTATACATTTATATATTTATATATTTATATATTTATATATTTATATATTTATATATTTATATATTTATATATTTATATATTTATATATTTATATATTTATATATTTATATATTTATATATTTATATATTTATATATTTATATATTTATATATTTATATATTTATATATTTATATATTTATATATTTATATATTTATA